AGTAGTTACTACTGGTGTAGTAGTAGTTACTTGTGTAGTAGATGTTGATGGTCCAGTAGAAGTTGCTGGTACAGTAATAGTTACTGTTGCAGTAGTAGTTACTGGTGCAGTAGTAGTTTCTGGTGCAGTAGTAGTTACTTGTGCAGTAGTAGCTACTGGTGCAGTAGTAGTTAGTGGTGCAGTAGTGGTTGCTGGTGCAGTAGTAGTTACTGGTGTAGTAGTAGCTACTTGTGCAGTAGTACTTACTGGTGCAGTAGTGGTTACTGATGCAGTAGTAGTTACTGGTGCAGTAGTAGTTACTGGTGTAGTAGTAGTTACTGGTGCAGCAGTACTTACTGGTGCAGTAGTAGTTGCTGCTGCAGTAGTAGTTACTTGTGCAGTAGTAGTTACTTGTGCTGTAGTAGTTACTGGTGTTGAAGTAGTTACTGGTGCAGTAGTAGTTACTGGTGTAGTACTAGTTGTTTGTGCAGAAGCACTTACTGATGCAGAAGTAGTTACTGCAGCAGTAGTAGTTACTGGTGCAGTAGTAGTTACTGGTGTTGAAGTAGTTACTGTTGCAGTAGTTACTGGTGTAGTACTAGTTGTTTGTGCAGAAGCACTTACTGATGCAGTAGTAGTTGTTGGTGTAGTAGTAGTAGACACCGGTGTAGTAATTATTGGTGCAGTTGTATTTACTGTTGCAGAAATATCTGCTAATGAAGTATTTGCTATGGAATAAATAATAGTAATATTATCCAATTACGAAAAATGTTACTGATATATTTATATTTATCATGTTTAAATCTCTGTACAAGGTCATTTAGTGTGTATGTTGGACTTTGATTCGTCAAAAATGTGGAAAAAAATATGTTCGATAGTGTTTTTACTTGGCCAATGAATAAAGTGAGTATAATACATTGCAGCTGTAAACACTAATTATATCATTCACGGCTGGTAAAGTAAAATCACTCTTGTAGTTCAGGGCCGTAGCAAGGGAGGGGCTATGGGGGCGCCCGCCCCCCAGTTTTTTCAACTGCTTTGGCTAATTAGTTAAAGGTTACTTCCAAGTACAGCCAAACAGAACAGGAACACGTTTTGTAGCACGCCTGGTAAGTCGACTCAGTTGTCGTTTGCATCATTATTTATTGGAAAGTCGCTATTTGTAAGAGAATCCAAAGGACGTAATTTACAATCCAAAACCCTTTGGGAGAGCAATCCAAAAATGTGTGTGGTGCAAATGAACGTTTGGTTGTCTTTCAATATATATAGGCGTGGCTTGAGAGCTTCCTCCCAATATTTTTTACCTTGCAGATAACCGCCAGCCGCTGACCTATGCAGATCGTTTTTAGCGATAACTGCCTACAGATAACTATCGACTGCTGAAAATTGCTGTGGCATGCTGATAGCTAGAATTAACTGTACGTTCTCGACCAATGAGAATTCAGATAGTGAGTACAATGTATAATAACATTAATTATTTCAAAGCCGTTTTATAATCAGCGGTATTTCCCTGTTGCATCCCATCAGGCATTGCTGTCGATAAATTATCTATACTGGTCAGTTGTATTTGTGTATACTGAAACGCTGTACAAGTGCTTTGTGGGATATTCCATGGTATGTGGGTCAAAACTATTGTATAATTGATATACGATGAAATAAACCTATATCGATGGACTGCAAAATAAATTAGGAAAAAATATCAGAATTTTAAAGTACTAAATACTGGAAAATGTTTTTTTTCTTATTCGTTGTTTTAATAGAGCTTAGCGTTCTTGTCCTTTCTGAATTCTGAAGAGAATAAGATCTTAGAACAGAAGATATATTTTCGATTATTATGTTTCAATAATAACCAATATCGGGAAAAATGTATTCTTTGTTGGATCGCAGGCAAGCAATCTTTTGAACCTACGACTCRATGGTAAATTTTAAACTAGCCGATTAATTTGAGTGTGAAAGTAGCCTTTTAAGTCCATCATGAAATACAAAAAATGAACCCTGAAATGATTTGAATAATTTTCTTTATTAAAACTGAGCACCTTTAAGTAATATTTAATTAGTTACGCCTATTTACGGGATTTATGTCCTGCACTCTTTGGTATGACCATTTTTGTATAATCTTTTTAAGGGCGTGTGTTTGAAGATATTTTGAAGTATTCCTTTCCGTCTCTATAGCCAGACAGATATCTCACATGCAGCTATTTCCAATTTAATACTTATACAGTAAGTTAATCTTCATAGATTTACTTGGTTTAATTGATTTATTCAATTATATAAAATAGCTTTCATGATAGATACTTACTCTGAGTGCTATTCAAGGTGATGAGAAGTGAAAACGCTGCAAGTGCCAACACCTTCATTCYTGCCATGCCTTTTTTACACGAAAAGAAAATCTTCTTTTCCTTTTAAATATATACTATAAAACTTGTGGTTCTCCTCCTTGTACTGAATCTTCAATACATCGCTTATTTATCTTTGTATTCTACAAACTTCCGTAAAGAAACCATTCGGAGCCTACTCCCACGAAGTGCTCCGAATCGAAAGACACTTTACAACGGCGCTGAAAAGCTTGTATAATTATCAAGAAGATCAAAAATATTGCAATGAATTGAAGGTTATTTGTATAACTTGTGAAATACAACTTTGGTTTTATTCAAGTGTTGATATTTCGTTTTCTCTAATTTTAGGTTGAATTGCTTTAAACATCAAAAAACGGCGCCAATCCTGTAATTAAAGATACCCGGATGTAATTTTCTAATCAACATTCTGCCGAAAAGAAAGTTTTTTTGGAGTGCGTTCTTTCAAGTTTTTTCTTCCTTAAACATAAAACTGTTATTTTAAACCCGCTCCTTATTTCTATAGTCTTCTGAAGTCATGCTCGAAAGTTAAYAAAGAAATATAATAATATTCAAAATCTAGAACCCCAGAACAGTAACCTACTGGACTCGCCTCAAACTAGAGATTAGAGGGGTTTGAAACATCTCATTTATACGGCAAATGTTAAACGAGAAGTTCTTCAGAATTAGTGGGGGGGAAAGATCGAAAATTTTTTCAAGTGGTAGATGAATAAATCATAATATTTTGGATAAGTTGACTCTAATCGACGATTGTTTTATTTTTAGGCAAATAACTTTTATTTTCATAAAATTTMCATGCGAATGAAAACATTTCTTTCCTTGGCAAACCGTGTTAGCTTAGGTCTAGTGCTTTTTTTATTTAAAAAAAAAAATATATATATATATATATATTTATTTATTTATGCTATTGTATATAAGCGAGCACGAGTGGTCAATCGTGTGTATGTAGTTTGACATCCGTGACTGACCTATCGCTATATCTATCGCTAACCAGACTAGTTCCGGTTATCACATTTTGAATAATTAATGAGGAAAATCACGAAGTCAGGTTCATTTGCATTCAACTTTATAAACATTGATGTGATCACCAATCCAATCTCAAAACGTTTTAGTAGGAAACTTAATTTTAGTAGGAAAATTATACGGATGGAGAGAGTTATGTATATTTTCAGTTGGAAGGGTTCCTCGCGGAAGAACAGCGAACTTGTAGCTGAAGGAAGTCCCCTTTATTTTATTATATCAAAGAAAAAAGCTACACTCAATGGAATGACAACTGAATTAAAAAATCTCAGAACAAAGAGGTTAATCTGTCAAAACACAACAAGGCATATTTCACTGTTAAGTATTGAAGTGATTCTTGTCGTAGTCTTATTATTTCTTGTTATCATGGCCGCCATTTTGGCTGAATAGAACACGAGGTTGTTTTAATCGATCTACACCTACTTGCAAGAAGGTTGTCATACAAGAATAGAGAAAGGAATACATTAATAGACAAAAGAAAAAAGTTCAGCTTAAGTGATCTTCTTTTGTTTATTAATATAATTCCTATCCCACTAATGTTCTATTTTCGTATGACAACGTTCTTGCAAGTAGGTGTATATCAAACAACATGGCTACCACTTTTGCAATAATATAAGCRCTCGTTTGGTATTTCATATTTCTTTAAAAAAAGCAAATTACTTAAATATATTCATTTGTTTCTATTTTTGTATAGAACACCAGCTCACAAGATGAATTTAAAATACATTTATTATTAATTTCAATTTCAATTTYAATTTTAATTATTTTTAATGCACATTTTATATTCATACGATAATTAAGATAAGATTCTTTGTATCACCCACGTGATTTTATAATCTTTATTGAAGCCAAGCTTTCGGACTAAGCGTCCATCATCAGGGCAAGTGGCTTAGTCAGAAAGCTTAGCAATCATTTTAAGTAATGCTAGAGCTTTTCCAGGAATTTGAGGAGCATGCGCTGTAAGAACCCTGTTTTAATAATGTATTCTATAATCTTCATATAATATCTACAAACCTATCAAATTCGAAAACTACAAAGCTCCATTTCGTAATTCTTTTGAGTGAATATTTAAGATTTATCACCAAACATATTAAATTTTTTAACAAACTATTCCCGATCATACGAACTTGATTTTGATCTAAGTCGTTCATTCGGACATWAAATATTTTAGATTCCAGAGGACAAACCGCTGGCTAGTAGTGACAGCTCGTAATTTWAAAAAAAATCTCTGACACAGGAATCCCAAATGTTAAAAACAATCTATCTTTATATCAATGGGCTTTTTTAGCCAATTTTTATGATTGACTCAGGATCTTTGTATGCCGTGTTTTCGAAGTCTATAGTGTTACCGTCTTGAGCTGCACTGATCGCATAAAGGCCACCTAAATGGAAGCAAAATAAACTTAGTTACCATAGTAACAGGGATACAATATTCAGACTCGCGTCAGCTCAGTTCTATTTTAAGCCCCACCTTGGGGGATAAAAGAAAACGTTTCAGCTTCTTGACATTGAAACCTACTTCCTCTCCTCACACAATGCCCTAGTCAAATCCAATCCATCTCAGTCAATTAAATCCAATCCATCTCAGTCAATTAAATCCAATCCATCTCAGTCAAATCCAATCCATCCCAGTCACATCCAATCCATCCCAGTCACATCCAATCCATCCCAGTCACATCCAATCAATTGCAGTCACATCCAATCAAGTCCTGTTTCATCCAAAGAAAGACAAATGATACCAAAGACAATAAAATATCTTAGTATTTATTAGTTTTTACCTTCATTTGGAATTGTGGGATTAGTTGGGTCCTCATAGTCAGGTGATTCGGCCAAGCCAGACTCATCTTTCGCCGGTTGCTGTAAAAATCAGAGAAAATAAGAACAAGAAGCAAAGCTAGTACTATGAAAGAATGATTTCGAATGAGCATCCTCGGTTTTCGGCAGGTATTAAGAGAAACCAGAAAACCCAGAAATAAACTCTCGAATGAAGAAACAGACTCAYTAAATAATTATCATTATACTAATTTCTAACAGCCCGCTTTCTGTCTAGTTATTTCTTGGTTTGTTTATYGTTAGATCGTTTAGTTTTTAAAAATATTTTTCAAGTTTTATTGATTTTTCGTTTTCGAGGGCCATACGTTAGATGACTGAGGGTAATTATTTCAACATCGTAAGATAAAGATTTGAATAAAATTAATTAATTAATAAATGAAAAATGTCGAGTCCAGGAATCAAATCCTAGACCCCAGAGGTGAGACAAGTGCAGTAATCATTACAAACCTTCGAGACCTCATCGGCAAAGGGTTCAATATTTAAGTCTAATATCACTATACCTGTATAGGAATGGCGACAGTCTCATAAGCCAGTCCACGCTTGTCATGTGTTTTCATCTGTAAAACAGGTGAATTACTGTTCTTAGTCTCTCTGTTCAGCGGTGTGTATACTGGAACTTTACCAGATGCGTCACGCATTCTTGTGTTCTGGACGATGGGCTGGTACCTACTAGAAGTATCTGGGTAGTCATAGGTGGGTGTCTGYCCATTGACTGTCACAGGAAGACTTCTGTCTTGGCCAAGATCATATGTTGGGTTGGCTAGAAAAAAYCATTGATGAATTATTTAACAATTATTCGCCGAAGGCRAAGTGACTATCGGGAYGCGAGTCTCCGAGCGGCGAGGTAAATATTCCCCAATAATCACTGAGCCTGAGGCAAATATTATTTTAGTATAAAAACACAGGTGATTCTTTCAAAAAAAAAAGAAAAAAAAGAAGATAAAAGGCATTTTTTCCCGGTAACAGCAACAAAGCGGCTGGCCGCCATTTTGGATTTTCGCTCGAGGTGATTATCGTGTGATAGTGTGAGTACCTTGACCAATCAGCGCGCGAGATTTTCTATAATCACCTGCGTATTTTTACTAAAATCAGATAATAGGCTAAAAATTTAGACAAACTAGTGCGTTGTGGTTGGCTCAAATTCTATACGCTTCTATTAAATGTTCAATTTAGATTTTCGAAAATAAGTCATTAGTAATTCTTGTGTGAAATATAAATTAGCGTGAATAAGCTAGATTTGTCATTTTTGTTCACGAGTCATTCTCTTGAGTAATATTTCTTTGTTTGCRCATAAAGAAGGATACAACTCAAACTTTAAGGATCTTATTCCCAAGGGAATGACAAGTGGTCTGGATTGAGGAGACATTACAGTAAAATAGTTTCATCAATCTACCTTCGCATTCTGCTCCTTTAGAAGGTTTTTCGTCACTAAAATGGAAAAAATGGTATTATTACCACAGTGAGATACTCCTTTCACACTCCACAACTAACGCTGAAAAATGACAATGAAGGCACCGGACTTCATGCGACTGTTGGACACATGCAAGATTCCCAACCATATCCAGACAGAAGCGTCCTAAGGCCGGAAACGCGCCTAATAGGAAAAAATGATGATGATGATGATGATGATGATGATGAAGATGAAGATGATGATGACGATGATGATGTAGTGGTGGTGGTAATGATAATGATGGCGGTGATGATAATGATGATGATGAAGATGATGACGATGATGATGATGGTGGTGGTGATGGTGGTGATGATGATGATAATGATGGTGATGATGGTGATGATGATGATAATGATGGTGATGATGATGATTAAAGATACTTGCACCGAGCCCACGGCTTTGGAACGGGTTAAAAAAGGAGTTAAAACTTGCATTCCATTCAGTTGATCGGTTAGGGAAGGAAGGGTGCGCTTCTTAGGGCTTATTAAATCAAACCAGAATCTACCCAGTTCAGTTATGAACACTTACTTCCTCTTTCTTCTGAGATAGAAAACTACCAAAGCAATGATGACTATTAGAACCAAGATGGCGCAGATAGTGAGGCCGGCTATCAAGCCCTTGTCTTCTGACTTGCTTGAGTTCTTCCCTTTATCAGACTGCGAAGGAGAGGCGGTTGTAGATGACTGTGGTGTGGGCGATGATGACTCTTTGGGTGCAGACGATATTGGCGTAAGGGTTGGTTTGTTACCATTGACTACAGGAAAAGAAAATTATTCTTGTCTTAAAATTATTCTGGTATAGGTTATATGTGGTGACGAGAAGGAGACAAGGAAGGGCCCTAAGGCAACCTCTGGGCTGATCAAAATCAAGGCATGGCTAACTCACAGATCGAACCCTAAGGCAACCTCTGGGCTGATCAAA